ATTGAGATTAATAATTTGGTGTTTCATAACTTTTCGCTTTTTCTTTTTTAGGGGGTGAAAAAAATAAATTTCCCCCTCTTGGCTAGCCGCTTGGATGCCAATAACTCCGGGTATTTTCCCGTTGTCAAGGCAGAAAATAATCGCTTTCTCACTGGTTTAGGTAAGCATTACGGCTGATAATCGGATCGGAAATTTGCGGATTAAAAAAGTCTTTCGCCTCTATGGCTTCGTATTCTTCCGCGTAATCGTCTAACTGGTTAAAAAATTGTTGAGCGAGTTCGGCGTTCTCCGGAGTGAAAGTGAAATTTAGCACGGATTTAGTTTGAAAATGGCTCAAAACAGATTTATCGCAACGGCCACCTTCTTTGGGGACTTGCTCGGCTTCAAGCGGAACTTTACTGAACTCGGCTTTTTGGCATAAGGCTAACAAGTTAGTAATTACAAACTCTTGGAAATCGTAAGTAAAAATTTTCTTTTTCTTTCGGCCGAAACTCAAATTTAGGCTTTCTTTCTTTTGGTTTTTTCGGGCTAATTTCGCCAGGTTAACCGGGTTGAGTGAAGTAGACAAACGAAAATTTTTCTTTAAGTGTAAAGGCTGGGCGACGCTGCCAATTTGTTGCTCGTTAGTCCGGTAAAAATAAGTGTTATCGGCACGACGGAATAAATGCTGGTTGCCGTTTAATCTTTGGTTGGTTTCTTTATCAAATTTGCCTTTACCAATTAAAACGGCTTCTCTTTCCTCGTAATCATAAAGATTTTTAAAAAAGCGGTAGGCTTTGTTATGCTCTTTAAATCCGTGTTCTCGGTAGAGCGACCGCAAATGAAAACTTTTGGCTAAATATTTAGCGAGATATTGCCCGAGAGTTTTTTTTCCGGGACTGCGGCTTTCTACCCGTCCGTAAGGTCAGAGTTCGTGTAGATAACCGCGGCAGTTTCAACATGAAGCGAAGTTTTTATCTAGGCAACATTTATGAGTGTAAGGAACAATGGGCGTAGAGACTAAGTGAAAATGCCAAACTCCGTTTTTTTGGAGTTCAGCCACTACGGCTCATTTTCAATTTTGGGGTCTCCATTTCATTCGCACCGAGCGGAGAAATTTGGTTAAATATTGACTGGCCTTTTGGAAATTGCTTGCGTCCTCTCGGCTGACTTTACGAAGTAAAATAATCTTGGTTTCGCAAGATGGGTCAAATTTTAGGGCTCAATCCTTTAATCAGGACGACTTTTTTTCCAGTGGTTTTCAGCACTCATGGCTAGGGTCGGCGTTCGTAGTGAAAGCGTATAAATTATCCTGTCGTGTGTTAAAAGTGAGAGTGAGAAAAAGGGCAGGTTGTCTGGCCTCCATTCCTTCAAAATTAGCCTCAATTTTATCTAAAAATCTAATGTATAACCGCTTTTCTTTCCGGTTGAAGTATTTGAAGTAAGCACAATTTTGGGCGTCCGTTAAGCAATCATCTTTTAAGTCTTTTTCCAACTTTCGCACTTTTTCGGTTAGACTAGTTTTTGGTTCTTTTTTATAAAAAGACCGCACACTATTTTTGCTTAGTGTGATATTGGTTCGCTTTGTGCTAGCAATGCTTTTTAAACTGACATTAAGAACGCTAAACTGTTTGTGATTTTCAACTAAAAACTCCTTTAAATCGTCAACACTAACCTTCTTAATCTCCGCTAACTCCATTAATAACGATTGAAGTTGGGAACTGGGCAGACTTGTAGTTATGTGACCATTAAATAAAATATGGTAGCAGAATTAAATATTTATAACATTAAAAAGTTGGGTCAAGTTTCTACTCCGGACAACATTGTTGATTTTATGCTTGATGCGATTGGATATAAGGGAGAATCTATACTTAACAAACATATATTAGATAATTCCTGTGGTGAAGGTGCTTTCTTAAAAGGTGTAGTCAAAAGATATATAGAAACTGCCAAAGAAAAAAATTTGTCCCAAAAAGAAATAAAAAAAGGTTTAGAAACTTATATTCATGGAGTAGAAATAGACCATTCTGCTTATGAAAACTGCTTAAAAAGTTTAAATTTTATATTCCCAGCTAATTATGATCTAAAGTTGGGAGATGCGTTATTTATCAGAGAATACAACAAAAAAATGGATTTTGTGGTAGGTAATCCCCCTTATGTTAAAATTCATAATTTAAACGGAGAATATAAGAATGTCATTTCTCAAAAACAGTTAAAAGGAATGGTAAATTTATATTTACTATTTTATTTTTTGTCCTTTCAGCAGTTAAATGCTACCGGTAAATTAATTTATATTACTCCTTCTTTTTTTAAGAATGCCAGTAGTAAGATTTTGAGGGAGAAAATTTATCAAGAAAAGAAGCTAGTTCATATTTACAACTTTAAACATCAACAAGTTTTTCCGGATATAACTACTTATCCAGTGATAGCCTTATTTGCTAACTCCCAAGCAAGTCAGAAATTTAATTATTCGGCAGTTGAATTAAATAACAATGGCAAAGAAGAAGTTAACTTAATTTCTACTAATAAATTAGATTGAAAAAAAGTAGTAATTGAAAACAGATTTATTTTTGAACAACAACTATTATTAGAAAGCCAAAGGATTTTCGCTAAAAAACAAAAAAGTTATTGTGAGGTAAAAAATGCTTTTGCTACCTTGGCGGATGATGTTTTTATTGCGGATAAATTTTCTTTTCGTTCTCCTGATATAATTAAAATAGTCAAGAGTTCCACCGGAGAAATAAAAGAGTGTATTTTTCCTTATTACTATGATGAAAAAAGCAAGAGACATTTATTAAAAGATTTTGCGGAACTGGATGAAAATACTAGAAATTATTTACTGGCTTTTCAATCGCAATTAGAAGCTAGGTCAATCAAGGAAAAAGATAAATGATGACAATTTGGTCGCAGTCAAGCCATTAATGATGTTGGCAAAAATAAGATTTATGTCAATTGTTTATTCAATAAAGAAGTTAGTAATGTAAATTTTGGGTCAGTTCCAGAAGGAATGGGAATATATGGCGGAATATATATTTTACCAAATGGAACTAAACCAAAGATTATCGAAAATAACCTTGAAAGTGAAAAATTTAAAGATTTTGTGAAAACTTTTGGCGAACACCGCAATGGAAACTGATACTTAATCAATTCACGAATAATGACTAAATATTTGAATTATCTTATTTCCTTGTCAGAGGAAAGAGAACAAAGCATCGAAAGAAGTAATTATAATGAAGCCCAAATTAGATAATTTAAACGAGAAATTTTTAAAATGCTTGGAACAAAGTTTCTTGAAATATTTAGAAAAAGGGTCTAAGGGAGTACGAGGAACGGGAAAATTAAAAATTCTCCATCCGCATATTGCTCGGGATTTAGGAAATGTTTTAGGGGCTAAATACCAAATTTTCTCCTTGGATGAAAAGCAAGGAAAAGAAAAGATAATTAGAGGTCGCTACATGGAGAAAAGGATGGATATAGCCGTAATGAAAGGAGAAAAACCAGTCGCGGGTCTTGGCATCAAGTTCATTATGAGTAATTATCGCCAAAATTCAAACAATTATTTTGAAAATATGTTAGGAGAAACGGCCAACATTAGGACTAATAGCATTTTGTATTTTCAGATAGTTATTTGTTTTGCTCGCTCTCCTTATTTCCATAAGGAGGAAAATAAAGAAAAAGTTATTAAGAATTTTGAAAGGGTAAGTTTAAGCCACTTGGAAAAATATCAAATTCTTTCCCAAGATGACACTACCATTTATTTACATTCACCGCTTAAAACCTTATTAATGTTGGTGGATTTTGCCAATATCGATTGTGAGGAATTGTTTAAGAATAACAAATTGAAAACTAATAGTGAGTTTATTCAAACAGTTAAGGAAAAAGGAGCTGAATTGAAATTTAGTGAATTGGAGGACAAGCAGCAAATTTTAGATAGTAAAGTCTTTTTTAAGGACGCCCTTATTTTTAATGATTATCAGAAATTCATTAAGAAATGTGCTTATTTAATAGAGGGATTTTTTGGAAAGTAAGATTTTAGCGACAGCTTAATTTAGTGGAAATTTTTCATAAGGAATTGGAAAAATAAAATTATTCTTGGTCTTAATTATGGAAATTTTAGAAAAACTAGCCGAACTAACTAGTAAGCAAAAACGGGTCATGGAGTTAGCATTACAAGGTCAAAATGTTTTTTTTACCGGGGCAGCCGGAACAGGAAAAAGTTATCTATTGCAAAAACTAATCACTTCTTTACAAGAAAAATACGGAAAAAAGCATGTTGGAGTCACGGCCACTTCGGGTATTGGTGCCGAAGTTATTGGTGGAACTACTCTCCATTCTTTTTTAGGTATTGGGATTGACAGCAATCTTAGTGTGGAAGAATTATTAGATCGCATTTTAACTAGCCGTTCTTCTTATGCCCGGAAAAACTGGCGGAAAATTAAGGTGTTAATTATTGACGAAATAAGCATGTTAGGTGGGGAATTATTTGATAAACTTGAAAGTCTGGCTCGGCAAATTCGACAAAACGAGCAACCGTTCGGCGGTGTCCAATTAATTTTAGCCGGAGATTTTTGCCAACTCCCTCCGGTTGGCAAATCTCCGCTTTATTGCTTTGCGGCGAAATCCTGGGAAAATTGTATCCGGGAGACCGTCAATTTAATCCAGGTATTTCGGCAAAAAAATAATTGATTTATTAATTGTTTGCAGGATATTCGGCTGGGTCGCTTCTCCAAAAGCCGCTGGGAAAAATTTGTTTCCTTGTTAGCCCGTGAGCCAACTTGGCCGGACGATGGGATTAGGCCAGTTAGTTTATACGCCACCATCCAGGAAGCCGAAGCCACTAATAACCAAGAGTTAGTTCAATTACCCGGACCTTCTTACCTGTTTGCGGCCGAAGACCAAGAAAAAGCACCCGGCAAATTAAAAGAGTTAATTCGGGATTGTCTGGCACCGGAAAAATTAGAGTTAAAAATTGGTGCCCAAGTGATGTTGATAACTAATTATTTAGAAAAGAAATTAGTTAATGGTAGTCAAGGAGTAGTAATCGGTTTTGTCAAGGGTCTCCCACGAGTGAAGTTTACTAATGGAAAAGTGTTAATTATTGAAAAACACACCTGAGAAAAAATTGAGAGTTATGACAACAATAATCGTCCAGCAGTTTCGGCTACTCGCACCCAAATTCCGCTAATTTTGAGTTGAGCGATTACTATTCACAAGAGCCAAGGGCAAACTATTGAACGGCTAAAAGTGGATTTAAGTAAATGTTTTGTGAGCGGACAAATTTATGTGGCTCTTTCTCGGGCCAGTGACCCGCAATTTCTTCAAGTAATTAATTTCCCTTACCGTCGCTTGTGGTGTGATTATAAAGTTCAGAAGTATTATTTTAGTCTAAGTTCTGGTAAGTAAATAGGACCCTATATTTATAATATCGAGGATGCGAGAATTATTCTCCAGTAGTATCGGGCTCGTGGAACAATAAAAAATAACCCATTTGAAATGTGATGATTGGTTTACGCAAACGATAAAAAGAATGTGAAGTATAACAGATAAGAAAAGATATTTTTGGGAAATTGCCAAAAAAGAGATAGTGGAAAGAGTAAGCAAAAAAATCGTGAATAATATAAATTATTAAGCGCTATGGTTAATGCTCAAGAATGATTAGATAAAAATTATCCTCGCAACGTTAGCGAAGGAGAATTTGCCAATGCTAGAATTGAGGAGCCTGACCGAGCCATCGACGAATTTGCCAATCGCTATCAGAAAAAATTTAAACTTCTTCACCCTAAAGACAACGACGCTCCTTATGCGTTTTTGAGCCCAGAAGGTATTCGCACATTAATTAAAGACGAAATAGGAGGATTCGGCCGACTTTTGACAGATGATTGAAGACGATAGAGAATCGAAAAGTTAGATGCGGAATTTCTCTCCGCGTTTGAAATGGAATACAGTCACACTGATTTTGGTAATGCGTTTCTTTCTCGGACTGTTCCAACTGTTAATTCTCGACGTGATAATACCAAAACATTAAACGCTTTTTTGTGAGCAATTCTAGTTCATCTTTATAAAAGTTGGGAGGAGGATGAGTTTTTTATGGGAAAATTACTTTTGGAAAAGAAAGTTCTAACAAGATTACAAAGAAACAAGGATTATAACAGGCGAGATAGGGGGAGAATTGGCCAAAGATTAGAAGGAGAGGAAATAAACGAATACCCCGGTTTAGAGGGAAATTTGGATTTAAGGGAATTTTCAGGGTTGGAGGAAGTGCATTTACCCGGTTTTCGTCTCACCGGATTATTATTATCAGATAGCGTTTACGGCAAACTCGAAAAGCTGACTACTATTAATTGTCAAAAAAATCGGCTCCAAAGTTTAAATCTCGATTTTTGTCCCAGTTTGAAAATTTTGAATTGTTCTGATAATAATCTCACGAGTTTGGATTTAAAAAATAACAAAAAGTTAATTTCTCTTGATTGTAGTAATAATTCTATCAACCAGTTAACTTTTCCTTCTAATTCGCTTTTAGCAACAGTAGATATCAGCCAAAATAAAATGACAGCCGCTCTTAATATTTTTTCTGGGTTGTCAAAATTAAAAAATCTTTGATTAACTAAAAAGTCGTCTGGAGAAAACCAACCACCTGAGGAAAATGATTTCAGTGGATTGTTAGCCGGTTTGCAACGCTGTGGTAATTTAGAACTTATGGTGGCGGTTAATCAAACTAAAATCCAAGGAAATCCTGCTAATTCTCTGTATTTATTTGGGAATAATATGAGACATTTTTATTGTCAAAATACTATTTTTCAAACAGAACTCGAACCTTTTAATTACAACGTAAAAAAATGAAAATCTGAAAAAGTTGGGAACTTAGAGGAGCAATTGGCTAAAGTATCGAGAGAAACCGACGGTAGGATTGTCGAATTAGAAAATGAATTAGAGATTGAGCGAGACAAAGGCAAAATTCAAGATGGATGATATCAAAGAATAACGGGACAGGAGAGGGAAGCAAGAGAATTGGCCGAAAAAAAAGTGAAAGGATTAGAAAATCGAAGCACGGAAGAAATTAAGAAATTAGCTGCGAAAGAGTTAGAAGAAAAAGAAAGAACCATCACTAGTTTAAGAGACGAAATTCAAAGATTAACAGGAAGTTTGAGTTTTAAGGAGGGAAAAATTAAATCTCTTAATGAGAAGTTAGCCAAGGAAGAAAATAATAATGCGGTGGTTGAAAGCCCAGTAGTAGTTTGTAAAGAAACCCAAACCTTAATTAGCGAAACGGAAAATAAGGAAATAATAAAAAAATTGGAGGAAAAAGTTAGAGATTTGGAGCGGGAAAGAAGTGAATTGAAGGAGAAAGAAAAAGAATTTGTAAAAAAGGAGACAGAAATTTTATTAGAACTTAAAGAAGCGGGAACACAAACTGACAAAAACGAACAACCGCCAACAGAAAAACCAGCTAGTTCAGTCACCACAGGCCAGTTATCTCTTCATCTTGCTGGTTCCGCTCTGTTTAATCCAAACAGTAATGTTGATTTCGCATGAGAAGAAGAAAGAATTAATGCCGATTTATCCGCCAAAATTCAAGAATCAATCAATATCGCAGAGCAAGCAATTGCCAAGGAAAAAGAAATCATGGAGTTAAGACGAAAGTTGTTCCAAATAGAACGAGCCAGGATTAATAAACACCATGAGGAAAAAATGGAGGAAATTTCGCTTATCTTGCAACACTTAAAAAATACTTTATAGTGCATAAACAGTAAATCGATTGAGTGTTATTGTCGAATAGACTGTAAAAATATTACTAATAAAAGGGCGGGACTGGTGCAATTGGTAGACACACAAGAATGAGGTTCTTGCCCGCGAGGGTTCGAATCCCTCGTCCCGTACCAAAAATAATCACCAATGTGGAAAAAAATTTTTCTGATTTTTCTGGCTTTAATCATTATCGCCGGTTCGCTCTTTTTTTCAAACGAGGAAGAGGATTTTTCTCCGGCCGAGGAAAGAAAAGAAAATATTAGTAAAGGCACACACTTTACCCGCCTTATCAATTTTTTTCGGAATATTTTCGCTCTCCTAATATTGGCTTTTATCTTACTTATTTTTAGTTTGCCAACTTAGTCATACTGCCAAATGCTAATTTACGATTGTTAATTAACTTAGACTTTTAAATTTGTTTGTTCTAATATTCAACCCTGTAAGTCAAACATTATTTTTCGGTCTTTATCCTTTTCGTGGTCGTAGCCTAGCAAATGAAGTAAACCGTGAAGAAACAAGAAGCAAATCTCTTGTTTTAAAGAGTGTTGATTTTCTTGGGCTTGCTCCTGGGCTACGGGATAGCAGATAAATATATCTCCTAAATCCCGCAACTTCCCAACGGAGCAAGAGCCAATTTCTTTCTGGTAGTTATAATAAAAAGGAAAAGCCAGAACGTCCGTAGATTTGTTTATCTTACGATAACGTAAATTTAACTGCCGGCTCTCTCTTTTTCCAACCAAGGAAAGACTAACCAGAGCAGAAATATCCTGTTTTTCAACCGCAATTTTGAGAATTTTTTCTAATTTTTCCTGAATTTCTTCCGGCAAAGTGTATTCGGCTTTGGAAACGGATATAGTTAATTCGCTGTTGGTGGCAGTTGACTTTTTGAATGTTTGCGTCAGCAAATTCTTTTTTCGATTTTTGGCTTGTTCTCTTTTAATCTTAATAAGAAATAGCAGCAATCCCGAAAAAACCAAATACCAAAAGGTAAATGTTATTGTCGTTCAAATTAAACCAATTTGCCAACGGCTTCATCCCCGACGAAACCAAAAATATTTTTTTTGGTCGGAAGAATGAGAAGGCAAACCTTTACACCAAAAAAATGGTGGATAAGGATAGTCCGGTGGATATTTGTGAGGCAATTTCCTCCCGTCATTGATTATTTCCGGACGAACCAAAACGAAAATAAATCAAATGATTGTGGGAATTGTATTACTCATCAAACTTAACTTTTTTTTCTTGGCTAGTAAGTCGACTTGACAATATTGTCAAAAATAAGCAACCGTCAACATCGGAGCCGCTATATGTCAACAAAAATTGTAGACCAATCAAACGTTAACTCTTCTTATTTGGGAAAATAAAGGCAGGAAAGGGAGAAAATTTATTCTTCTTTGCCATCCCGGAAAAGTCAGCAGAAAACCACCCCCCGCAAAAACCAGTACACTTACTAAATTAGTTCAAGCAACTACCACACTTATTATCTGTTCCCCCCAAGACCTTTCTTCTTTTCTTCCTTTTCACAACTTATAAATCACTCACGGAACAGTTATTAAAGAAGTCCAAGCCGACCAGTAAGTAAAAAAACGGACTCAATATCCTCAGGTCATCAAACTGATAGTCTCATGAGAAGCCTGGTCGTAAAAAGCCGATAACAAAACCGAAAACCCATGAAAAAAAATAATTGCTAGAAGTAATTGAGTGCTTTTAAGCGTCAACTTATGAGTAAATCATCTTTTTCAGAAAACTTTCATAGTCTTTTAATAATGCTTATTTAAGAGAGAAATAAGTCCGAAAGAAAATGAGGAATTCCTAATTTTTTATTGAAAATATAATATACTATGAAAAATTCAAATGTCAATAATCATAGAGAGAGAGAGAGAGAGAAATAAGTCCGAAAGAAAATATTAAGTCGTTCGAAGAATACGACCAATGAAAAAAAGAGAAAGAAGCCAAAGATGAAGCCGTTAAGAAAACTAAAAAAAATGCGGTTTGGTGAAAGGCTCACTTGTGAGGATTTCCTGGTCTTTTATTAAGCACATTCTTGACTTTTTTAATGATGTCTGCTTTGTTAGGCGTTGGTGTTTCCGATTTCGGCAAGTGAGTGGAAGTTTTAGGCAGTGAAGACAAATCTCAACACGAAGCAACAATTTCTACCATCGAAAAAAAAATAACTCAAGCCCCACTCGGAAAATTCTTGTTCACCCGGGAAAGTTTGGCTAGAGACGAAGTAAAACGAGGGGTTAAAAATTTTCGGCGAGGAAATTGGTCTGAGTCTTTTAACTCTGTGGCCAATCTTACTAAGGTAACGGAAAATTATGTTAATCTTCTTTTTTGAACCTGGATTATGATAGGATTTATTTCGTGAATACTAGTGGTGAACATAATTTGACAAACGACTTTTCATCTTTTTTTCACTCCGGAAGAGCGTGCTTTGTGGAAAGAAATGAATAAGACTAAGCAAGATAGTTAATTTTCCCGGAATTTTCTGGTTGGTGGCAGTAAAAACACAAAAAAAGGGTTAAAAGTTATCAATGAAACCTAATTTCATTTATCTCACTCTTTTTCCCCAATTTTTTCATGATTTTTTTCAAATCGCTTTGGTAAATAAAATCTGAAAAAAAGGGTTATTTAGTTACCGAACTTTCAATATTCGAAACTTCGCAAACAAAGGAAAAGTTGATGATTATCCTTACGGAGGCGGAGCCGGAATGTTGCTAAAAATTGAGCCATTAGTGTGGGCTTTAACTAGTATTCAAGAACTCTACCCGCAAAGTTATTTTATTTTACTTTCTCCTCAAGGAAGAACATTTCAACAAAAAGACGTAGAACGCTTGCTTAATCAAGCGCCCAATTTAGTTTTTATCTGCGGACGTTACGAAGGATTTGATGAGCGGATAGTTAATTACGTGGATGAACAAATTTCCGTGGGTGATTTTATTACTATGGGGGGGGAAATACCAGCCCTGGCTATCACTGAGGCTTTAATCCGGGCTGTTCCGGGTGTTATTCGAGTAGAATCTTACCAGCAGGAAACCTTTACTAACTCCCGGTTAGACTTTGCTAGTTACGCTCCACCACGAATTTTTGAAGGTTTGGTGGTGCCCGAAGTCTTGTTATCGGGTGACCACCAAAAGATTGCAGAGTGAAGAAAAGAAAACATGAAAAAGAAAATGCAATTTAGTCAAGAAAAATGAGGGGGGAGAAAACCTCTCCCTAATCCAGACAAGCGGCGTTTGAGTAAATTGGAGAATAAAATATAAGTAATAAAATTTTTTATTTATATTGTAATATTAAAATAAAAATAAATATAGATATTAAAAATAAAATTGTTAAAATTATGACTTTAACATTAAACCAAAAGAAAAAAGTGGTTGGCTTGGAGCCTGAACAATGAGACCGGATAAAGAATGATATAACGGATGAAGATTTGAGAGCATTGGAAATAAGCAAAGAAGATTTTCGAACTTTACGAACTGCTAATTTGGGAAAAACACAATTTTGAAAGGTGGTAAGGGATATTAACAAGTGTGACTTAATAATATTAGAAGAGATACTGCTGAAATTATACAACACTCTCAAAGATAACCAACGGGTGGCCATTTATGAGGAAATAATCGAAGAACATTATCTTTTTTCTGATTCTGAGAAACGAGAATTAAAAAGTGGTTTCCAACAAGCCAGTCTAGGAAGAAAAAAAATTCTCTGAAAAGAGTTGTTTAACCACCAAAAAAACCGGGGAAAGGCAAAGAAATTAAATTTGCTTGTCGTGGAAAAAATGTTGAACCAACAGATTCAAAAGAATCCGAGTTACGGTTTACCGGATGATAACACCCCAGAACGGCAAACAAAATTACGACAATTACAAAAAAAACTAGAAAAATCTCGAGAAAAAAATCAAAGAGAATTAAAGGGCTACTTAGAAGAAATATTTCTAAACTTTTTGGACGCTACTCGGGAAACTTCTCTCGAAATTCTGAAAGCCGCTCGAAATGGCGAAAAATTAGAAGAACAATTTGAAGAACGATTTAGGGAAAATGAAGAAGTCAAAGAGATGTTAGTCAAAGTCAAAAAAGAAATTGCCGAAAAAGCCGCAAAGTCTAGTCAAGTATTAGAAGAGGAATTGAGAAAAATAAGAGAACAATCCCAAATATTATGTGAAAAATACAAAGGGTCGTTTGAAGAAGGAAAGAAAGAATTAGAATTATTAGAAAAAAGATGTCAAGAAGCCCAAGAAAAATTATCTCGGATTTTGGGAAAAATAAGTGCCAGAGGTGGTGAAATGAGGGTAAGTTTTGGTTCGGGAATAGAAGAAAAGTTTGAAGGATTAAGAGAATTTATTGGTATTGTCAAAAATGGTTTAGAAGAGAACCAAGAAAAATTGCTCGCCTTAATTATTGATGAAGATTTATCTTTTATTAAAGGTTTGTTGGCTTGACAATGGGCGGATTTCATCCAATCGGCGATTACTTTTTTAACTATTGGAACGAACAACAACAAGGTAGAAACTTTTGCACAATCAGAAATTTTTCAATTAAAAACTCTGGTCCAATCGCTAATTCCCAATTTTGACGAATCTCGGGATAATTATACGGCGGCTTTGATTGAAAAAACTACTGCCATCAATCACGAAAAAGATTTATTGAAAGTCCAAATTGCTGAATTAGAGAAGGAGAGATTAGAAAAAAACGAAAGAATTTTGATTGAAAATATCAAAAAAGTGGCGTCTTATAATTATCTCCCTCTTGGCGAAGAAGATTTAAAAAAACTAGAAAGGGATTCGGTACTTTATAAAAACAAAAAAAGAGAAAATTATCCGCAATTATGAGAATTAATTGGCCCTACGGCCTCTATCATTGATAATATTATCAATTTTGATGTTAAATATAAAAAAACCAAAACCGAACTAGAAGAACAACGAACTGAAATTAACCACCAGTTACAAAAAGTCCAAGAAGATTTTACTAAAACCCAACAAATTGTTTTTAGTCATCTAAAAGAGTGTGCTGTCATATTACTCAGCAGTAGCAGTGGTTTTACTAATACTAGTGGTTGCGATTTGCTTCGTCTAGAACAACAAGCCAAAACAATCAAAAACGAGTGTCAAGCCAAGAGAAACAAAATACAGCAATTAGAAAATAGAAATCGTGAGTTGACTACTAAAAAACAAGAATTAACAACTCAACTAGCAGAACAAGAAGAACTTCTGGATTCTTTTCAAAAGCAAATAATAAAAGCCGAAGAAACCGAGATAAAATACAACGAACTAGAACTCAAATACCGCACCGAACTACAAAGTTTTCAGGTGGCTAATAACTCCATTCGTAGCGAGTTTAAGAAAAACGAAGAAAAACTAAACACCAAAATTGAGAATTTAAAACAACAACTCCAAACTAGCCAAGAAGAAAAAGAAGAAAATCTGGAATTATTTATTAGTCTCCAAGCCAAAAAAAGGGAATTGAAGCAATTAAAAAGCACCTTAAAAACCAAGTTAGAAAATGCTAGTCTCCTAAAAAATTTATTAACTAATCAAGAGTTATTAACCGGATTGCCAACCGAAAGTGGTTATCAAAGAACTCTTAGATTGATTGAAAACCAATTACAACAAGTTAAAGAACAATTACAAACCAAATTAAGCGAAGAAGAAATTAGTCAACTTTGCCAACTACAAACCGAAATAGTTAAATTGGAAATGAAGTTAGAAAAATTATCAGCCGAAAGAATGGAAAGTAAGATTGAAATCCCTCCTTATCAATAGTTAAAATTATACCATGGAACAAAATATTCTTTCTCCTAGTTCAAAGAAAAAACAAGTAAAAGAGGGATGAGTAAGTTTTCTGGTGAGTAGTCTATTTTTGGCGGCTCTAATAATTTTTCCACTAAGATTAAGGGAGGGAAAAATTTCCTTCGAAACACTATGAAGTAATTCACAAGAGGCAAATATTCTCCCAGACACTGTCCTATCTAATGAGAAAGGAGATAATTCGAAACCAGGAATTTCTACTCGTGAATGCCAAGAATGTTGAGACTTCCAAGAAGAACTTGCCCAGGCTAAGAGAGAAGCATGTGCAAAACTTCCTGATTGGGAAGGGGAGTGTGAATTTATTACAAAGGAAGAAAAAGTAAGCAAAAGAGACCAAATTAATCGGGCTGTCAGTAGCAAAGAAGTTAAAAAAGCGGTAAGCGGAATAGTGTGAGAGTGAATTAACCAATTTCGTGATCGACATGTGATTGACTGCGACGGAAGAATTGCTGATGCGGATAGTACTGATAATTGAGAAAAAGATTGATTTCTCCCTGATGATTACCAAAAAATAAGAGAACATTTTAAAAAGGAAATAAAATCTTCTACATGCGGTGGTAAGTTGGTCGGTTTTTTTGAAGGAATAAGTTACGAATCAGCACTTCCGAGAACCTTAATACATAGTTATTGAGGCTTCCAATTTACTGAGGAGGAGAAAAATGAACTTCCTAAGCATTTAGTTAGCGTAGAATTACTTTACTACCAACCAGAAGACCGTCAATCTATTATTGAGAATGAGGCGGGAACTAAACGAGTCTTTCTATGACGTCCATTTCAACACGAGAGGAGAGGAGAAGATTACGATTGAGACCACTTAGTAATTATTTCCAACCAAGCCATTTCAAACCAATTAAAAGACAGAAATCATTACAAATTTTCCCCTTCTCGACCACCCACTAAAAAACTTTCTAACCACATATTTTTCTTCGGAAAAGAACACCGAGGCAATTTTACATTAGAAAAAACAGAAGAAACCAAAAAAAAAAGAATTACTCCCACATGAAAAAGATATGAAATATATCAACAGATAAATAATCTTTCTTGGACATGAGAGTACAGAGCGCTTAGTAATTTTTCTTAGTGGTGCGAATTTTTTCTCAAATTTGGTTAACTTTTTCTTTGGGAAAACCATGTTCACGAGCCAAAAATAAAACTTTTTCGGAAATCCCTCCCTCTTGTTGGATGAGTAAGGTGATTTTTTTTCTAATTTTTTGGTGTCCTTGGGCCCGAACTTGGTCTTGACGACCTTTTCTCCATTTAACGTTAGCCGAGTGTGAATGTTTAGCCATTATGATAAATTATAGTTAAGGGTTTAGCGGAGTAAAGAGAGATTTTTTTCTTCTCATAAATTATATAATAACAAAGCGTCTAGTTTATGAAGTGATAAACGTTGATTATAGTATATTCAACCTCCACCCCGGCCAGTTTTATAGATTAACCCTTCTATCTGTTTGTTTTTTTGATAAACTTTATTTTTTAAGTTTTTTACCTGGTGAACGGGCAAGTAATCCACTTTTTCCAGGAAGTCAAAAACGTAAGACAATGTTTTTATCCCTCCGAAAAGTTTGAAGAGAAAAGTCATATCCTTACCATGTAAATCACATAATTAGTGTGTTCATAAATAATAATTTGAGGTCGTTTTTCATGGATAAAAGCCACGAGAAATTTTAAATGCTCTTCTCAATCTTTACCGTGAAAATCATGAAATTCCTGGTTGGAGCCAGTCCGAAAAAAAATCCCTGTGGTGCCAGTGCCACTAGGGTCAATAGTTAGTATTCTTTTCATATTCTTGCACTGAAACAATTTTCACTTCCGTATATTGTTGCCGATGCCCCATTTTTTTCTTGTATCTCTTCTTCGGTTTGTATTTCATCACTACTATTTTTTTGTTTAAACCATGTTTTAACACTTCTCCAATTAACCGAACATTGGTTAAATAAGGTTGCCCAAACTCATTATCGCGGTTCAAAATCTTATCAAAGACAATTTCATCGCCTTTTTTAGTATTCTTTTGGTAATCAATGCAAAAAATTTGTTCTTTCTTTTCGGAAAAGTAACAATACTGCTTGCCTTTTATCTCAAATCTAATACTTGACACGATATATATTAAAATTATATCCTTTATCCTTAAATATAATTCAGGTATTTCAAAAATATTTACACTTTTTTATGATTTTTGTGACGAGTTGCTTAATGATTTCAAGACTAATTAGAATCAATTATCCTATCTGATTTGTCGATAATAGGAAGAAGTTATACTTAATCGTCTTTCGTTACACAAAGGAAATTGCGGAAAGACCAAAACGCTTGGTGGAAGAGAAAAAACTTTCTTCTTATAATACTATTTCACTATTTTTAAATATAAAATATAAGCACAAAGAATATTAATAAAGAAATTACAGTTATAAATATAAACATAAAAGAGAATAATAATGCCAAAAAACGGACAAACAAAGTCAACCATTCCAGAACTTAATCCCTTTGCCCATTTGCTAGATAGGGCTGAAAATAATCGATTAGCTATAATCAAAAGGCAATGATTACGCCAAATGATAGAAAAGAGTCCTAACGACCCTCTTTACTTGCCAAACGAACTCTTAAATCAAATTTTAACTTACTTACCCGACCCATACCAATTAACTCCCGAAGAAATTAATTTTTTGGCGGAAAATGTTGATGCATTAGATTCGGTTCTGAATATTTATCAAAACGCAAGCGATTTCGAGCAGAAACGGAGGGTAGAAATGTTGTGATTTGAGAAAAAAAAACGATTAGCCGCGATATGAAACAGGATTTACATTGAAAATTCGGCTGGCCCTGAACCATTTCTTGCTTGTCCCATAATGAAGAATGAGCAAATTCCTTTTGACTTATGAAAATTATATAGTCTTCGTAGCCATTCACGGGGACAACGACTGAGTGAGAGAAATGGGGAAGAGATATCAATAATACTTATTTACCAGTTGCTAGTATGATCAATTTGTGCTCCTATGATTATACTTGAATTATGGTTCAAAAATAAAAGAAAGGAAGAAATCCGAAAAAAATGAAAATTAATCAGAAACTTAGGAAGAATAACGATAAAAATTTCCTAGTATTTTGGTAAGGAGATTTAAGAAAAGATGCTTTTAATAATTATTAGATATTAGTATCCAGTTGTAGGTCTTTCCACTACTTTGCATTGCACTGGTAGTTTATAGCTAGCAGCTGTTAATGCTTGATAAGCAACATCTTTTGGTAATCCTTTAACCTCAAAAATAACTGTTAATTGCTTGGCTACGGCTACTCAACTATCAATTGAACCTTTACCCGAGCCCATACGAACTTCCAAAGGCTTTTTAGTTTTGGCTAAATGAGGAAAAATGTTAGTTTTCACTTGTCCGGCTTTGAACTTTTTCAAAAATTTTCTAATTACCTTGTGAGATGCCTCAATCTGTTTATTGCTAATATAAGAGCCCTGCTGGGCTTGTAAGCCGAATTCTCCTCATTTTACCTCTTTATTACCTTTGGCTTTCCCTTCATATTTTACAAGATGGGGATAACGATACTTAGGGTTTTGTTTTGGTATTAGCATGGATTTATAGAAGTTATATTTATTAATTTTTCTTTAACTTGTCTGAAAAACTATATTATCATTACCAAAAGAGTGATTAACTTCTGAAAAAAAGTAAATCGTCACAAACTAATAATTGGTTCTTATCATAAAAAATGACATTTTTAAAAATACTAATGCGAAAGCGAGTGGTAAAAAAAGAAAACTTTAATAATAATATAAATAAAAAAATTACGTTATATGAATAGCAACAGTGATAACAAGAAAATAAGCAATAAAATTTTTGGCATTGACCTCGGAACAACTAATTCCTGTATTGCCTTTGTGGAGGGCAAGGATAAAAAAGTATTAGAAGCTCTGGATGGGTCACGCACCGTTCGTTCCGCAGTAACTTATAGTAAAGAAGAGGGGAGATTTTTAGTCGGAACTGATGCCACCCGCCAAGCCGCAATTAAACAGGTTGTTTTCTCAGTTAAAAGATTGATGGGACAAGACCTCGAAAAAAACGAGATTAGAGAAAAATATAAGGATAGATTTATCTTCGTTCGAGATACCAAGGATGGTCGCTGAAAGGTTAGTCTTGGTAAGAACAAAAAAGGTGAAGAAGTGTTATTAACACCAGAACAAATTTCCGCTCACATACTAAATTATTTGACTAGTTATGCTGAGGATAGATTGGGAGAAAAAATTAAGAAGGTAGTAATTACCGTCCCTGCTTATTTTGATGATAACCAAAGACAAGCTACCAAAAATGCGGGAATAATTGCTGGTCTCGAAGTGGAAAGAATTATTAATGAGCCTACCGCAGCCGCACTGGCCTACGGGTTAGATAAGGCAGAAAAAGAACAAACTATCTTAGTTTATGACTTGGGAGGAGGAACCTTTGACGTTTCGGTTCTCCAAATTTCCGAAGGAGTTTTTGAAGTTCTTTCCACCGCCGGAATTAATACCTTGGGAGGTGATGATTTTGACAAAAAAATAGTCGATTATTTAATTCAAGAATTTGAGAAAGAAAACAAGATTGATTTGCGAACCAAGGACCAAAAAGAGATAGACCGTCGCATGACTCTCCAAAGATTACAAGAAGAAGCTACTAAGGCCAAACATGATTTATCCGGCAGTTTAGAAACCACGGTTTCTCTACCTTATATTGCTTCGAAAAATGAAAAGGCAGTTCACCTTGAAATAAAGATTACCCGAGCCAAATTTGAGAAACTAATTGAAGGTCTTGTCAAAGAAACGATGAAAGAGGTTGATAAGGCTCTTCAAGAAGCGAAAAAAAAATCAGGAAAAGGATTAGAGATTCAGCAAATTGTTTTGGTTGGAGGTTCAACCCGTGTGCAGTTGGTTCAGGAAGAAATCAAAAGGAAATTTGGGGATAAGAAAATTAACAAGTCAGTTAATCCAGACGAAGTAGTGGCCATTGGGGCAGCTATTCAGGGTGCGGTTTTACGTGGAGACATTAAAGATGTTGTGCTCTTGGATGTTACACCACTTTCCCTGGGCATTGCTACTCTCGGTGCCCGAGGTGAAGGAGAAATTAACGATATAATTATTCCGCGTAATACTACTATCCCGACCTCCGTTAGCCGTGTTTATTCGACAGCCGAGGATAATCAAACTAGTGTTCATATTAGGCCATTACAAGGAGAAAGGACCCGAGCTATGGATAATAAAGTATTAGGCAGTTTTGAATTGAGTGGTATTAAATTGGCTCCACGGGGGGTTCCCCAAATCGAGGTTACTTTTGGTATCGATTCTAACGGGATAATTAACGTGAAAGCCCAAGATAAAGAAACCGGAAAAAAGGCAGAAATTACTATTCGGGATAGCCAAAATTTAAGCGAAGCCGAAGTGCAAAAAATGGTGCAGGAGGCAGAGGAAAATCGAGAAAAAGATGAGCAATTTAAGAAAAATGTGGAAACACTGAATCGAGCACAAACTTTCTGTTATACTTTCGAGAACCAAATAAAAGAATGAAAAAAACACAAAAACTTTAAGGAAGATGACCCCCAATTTCAACAATTCCAAAATTATTATAATGATTTAAAAAAAGCGGTGGACGAGAAAGATTACGAGAAAATAAGAGAGGAAAATAAGAAAATTGAGGATTTAATGAAACTATCCGAAGAATTAGGACAAAAAATGTCTTCCCAAGAAAGCGAGAAAAAAGAAGAGGAGGAGGAAGAAATTGTGGATGTTAAACCTGAGGAAAAAGATAAGGAATAAGAAGAGAAGGCTGAACTTTTTACTTTCATAAACTTTCACCTCAATTCCCTTAAATCATGCCAAAAAATGCACTTAAAACAAAGCGAGAAAAAAGCGGAGGCTAGCCTCCGTAAGGAATATTAAATCACAGTTTTTGAAATCACAGTTTTTGCCCGACTTTTTTCCAAATCTAGCAAAGCATCACGTAAAACAATAGCTCGGTCAAAACGAAATTCCCGCGTGGATTTTTTCATTTGCCGCCGCAAACTTTTTCGCAACTTTAACAATTCTTTTTCACTCATTTCTCCCCTTTGTGCCCTTTCCACCGAGGCTGTTATGACTGGGTCTAAAATTATATCCTTAACTGGCTTTTGAATGGTTTGGGGAACAATATTATTTTGTGAATTATGGGCTTCTTGAATCTGACGGCGACGGTTAGTTTCCTGGATAGCACCCAACATATTTTTTGTTTTTTCTCCCGTGTCCGAGTAGAGAATGACTTTGCCGCTTTTATTTCGCGAGGCTCGGCCAATTATTTGAATTAGCGAACGAGTATCTCGCAAAAATCCGGGCTTGTCGGCATCCAAAATACAAACCAGGGAAACTTCCGGCAAATCAATTCCCTCTTTTAACAAATTAATACCTACAATTACATCATAAACTCCCCGCCGCAAGCTAGTAATCGCCTGATAACGCTCAAAGATTTCTAAGCGGCTGTGTAAATATACTACCCGAATATCCTTCTCACGGAGATAACTAGCAATTTGCTCGGACATGACGATAGTCAAAGCATAAATAAGCACTTTCTCCCCTCGACTGGCTTTTTCGACGATTTCTCGCATGATGTCCGTAATCTGGTTAGCAGAACTCCGCACTTCTACTACCGGATCCAAAAGCCCCGTGGGACGGATAATTTGTTCGACCGGCTGATGATTTACCTTGGCCATTTCAAAATTGCCGGGAGTAGCCGAAACATAAAGAGCGTAATCAAGTTTCTGAAAAAACTCTTCTTGATTAAGGGGCCGATTATCCAAAGCCGAAGGCAAGCGAAAACCGTATTTTACCAAGGTTTCCTTGCGTCTTCGGTCGGTATTATACATGGCTCTAACCTGAGGAATCGTAATGTGTGATTCATCAATAATAGTTAAAAATCCCTCCGGAAAATAATCTAGTAAGACAAAAGGAGTTTCGCCTGGTTGTCGACCATCAAAATACCGGGCATAATTTTCAATGCCCGGACAAAAACCTCGGTCTCTTAAATCTTGTAAGTCTTGGCTGGTGCGGACTTCTAACCTTTCGGCTTCGAGTAATTTACCTCCTTTTGCCAATTCCTCTTTTCTTGCAGCTAATTCTTGCCTAATTTTAGCGAAAAGTTTTTCTTCCGCGGCAATGCCTAACTCTTCTCCCTCTTTAACATAATCAGCAACGTAATCCTGAGCCGGCGGAATAGCAATTTCCGTCAAACTCGCAATTTTCTCCCCAATTTGTTTGTTCCACCTTTCTATTTTCTGAACTTTGCCATCATTAATAACTATCCGAAAATAATAATCCTCTTCCCAACCCAGCATGAAAAAAATACTATCCCCCTCCCTCTGATAATTCCCACCATTAAGATTTTTCCCCTCCTGATAACCAAGATGGATTATTTTTGCCAGAATTTTTTCGGTCCTAATCTCCTCACCAACTTTTAAATAAAATACTACTCTCCGGTAAGAAGTGGGATTAAAACAACCATAAATTGCGGCTACTGAGGCCACTACGATTACAAAATCATCCGACCAAAGAGAATTTAATGTTTTCAGCCGCATTTTGGCAATACCAGCATTGCGTTGAACTTTCTTGCTAATATAAGTATTGCTCTCGGGTTTGTAAGCCTCCGGCTGATAATAATCAAAATAAGAAACATAGTATTCTACCTTATTGTGCGGAAAAAAGCCTTGCATTTCCTGGTAAATTTGCATAGCTAAGGTCTTATTAGGAGCCAAAATTAAAGTGCTTTTTTGGGTCTGTTGAATAATATTAGCCATGGTAAAAGTCTTGCCCGTGCCGGTAGCTCCTAATAATACTTGTTCTTTTTGACCTTGTTGGATACCCCGAACTAGCCCGGCAATGGCTTTCGGTTGGTCCCCACAAGGAAAAAAGTTAGTTACTAGTTGGAACATTTGTAATCATTTTTAAGTAAAAAAGATGAATATAAAAAAAATGCATGACTTGAAAAAAAAGTTAGATTTGTGCATAACTTGTCAAACTCCGATTTATGAGGGTGAAATTGTTCATATTATAGATATAAATAATTCAAAACAGCCTGTTCCTAATTTCATTTTGAACCAAAAAACCCCCACTGACTTCTTTTTTCAGTGCGATTGGTGCTACCAAGAATGACAAAAGGATCTGCAAACTCTAATTGTGGGATTATCACAGATATGAAATAAGATGATTTTCGGTTTGCTGCTTTTGGTTAATGTAGTAATAATATTTTTCTTAGTTAATTGATTATTAAAAAAGTTTTTAAATTACACGTTGTTTGATTTTAAAGAGGATAGTGTGGAAATGTTTACAGCGAAAGTGATGCTGATATTACTGATAATAGTGTTTCCGGTTTTTCTTTTGGAAATATGAGTCATCAGAAAACTAGCCCCCGCAAATAGGGACAGATTTAAGATAAGAAAGAAAAATACTTAATTTTTCGGCTTAGAAAAATCAATCTTTTTTGTTTCCTTGCTAACGAGGATCAAGTTATCCCAGGAATAAAAATCATTAGTTTCGACCGTATCTAATAGCACAAAACTTTGGCCTACAACGGAGGAAATTCGTTCTACTTTCGTTGGATAAAAATCCTCCGGAGAAGTTATTCTTTTAGTTTGCAAAAATCCTTCGAGTAAAATAAGATCATTTTTACGTCATTTATCAATAACTTCGAAAAATAATTCTCCTTGGATACGACAAAAAAAGGTATTGAGAGGATTTTCCTTGGTCGGAACTTCTATCTTAAAGGAAAAAACATCTTTTTCCCTACTAGTCACCTCACAATTATTAATTATTCTTCCCAATAATCGAACCTGGTTAATTGCCTTGTTAGGAACGCCAGACAACTTGCTAAAATCAACCACTTGAATTATTATTTGTCGTCCTTCTTTTTCATTCCGTAAGTAGCCTCTTACTTCTATTATCTCCCCATCAAAAACTTCTTTTTGTAGAGTTAGAGCCACTTTTCCATTAGCGTGGCATCGTAATACTGTTTGAACTTCATTAGGGTTAGTGACTAGTAAACTAAAATAGACTAACAATTCTTTAGTCAAACTTTTTTCTTTAAATTCTCGCGGCAAAACTTTACCGACTACTCTGATTTTATTCAACAACATGTTTTTCCGTAAATCTCGTTTTTTTCTGATCCGTTAAGTTAATTAAATTATAACGAGAAAGAAAGATATGTGATGCCATCTGTAAGATATTTTTTTGGAGTTGGGGTATTTTCTCTCGTGAGGTAGTAAAGTAAATAACTCAATAAACTCCGCTTACAAACTGTTTAGTCGGATAAGCCGACTTTCAATTTTCTTCCTCTGAGATTTCAGTAATATTTTCCCTACCCACCAAATTTTCAATATCAGCAATTAATTTTTCATACTTAGCAATATTTTCCTTCTTATTACCCAAACAAAGCAATTCGTATTGACAAACCATTTTTTTTCTCGTCATTTAATTTTTATATCTTACACTAAATTAGGCTAAATAATTTAACTTTCCAAAGATATTTCTTCGGAAGCGAAAAAGAATATTGGTAAAATGAATAAAAAGTATAAGTAATGATACGATGAAGAAAGTCATCTTTTTTAAGTTTGCCAAACAATTGAACGAAAGCGAGTGGAGAGAAAAAATAGGAGGAAAAGAGATTACAAAAGGGATGCTGGTGAGGAATAATTTTCCCTCTGATAATTACTACTTTTTGAAAATTAAGGATAAAGTTGTTTGTGAAAACAAGTTTGTTAATATTCTGGCTCTTCGTAAAAAAAAAAAAAGGGGTGATTATGAAAATTTGTTTACTCGTCAAACTATTTCCAATCAACCCTGTCTCTTGCGGCTGGAATATGATTGCAGTGACAATGTAAATGATGATTGCAGTGACGTTTTATGGATAGCAAAAGAAAACTGAGATAATTGTTTTCTAGTAGTTGTTAATGATAATTGAGACCTAAGGGCTGTTCTTTCCGACGGAATGCTTAATTTTCGCTTGACTCAAGAAATAGTTTTCAACACCACTTATGAGGATGACGGTGGGCGAATAGAAATACGAGGGACTGTGGAAAGGAACGAAAGTCAGAACATTCCGAAAATAAATCTCATTAATTTGTGGACGAGCCTTGCAAGATGAGAAAATAACTGAAAAAAAATTTTTCCGCCCGACCACGGAGAAATTTCGGTTGTCATAAGAAATATAGACAATACCAAAGTTAATTTTGAGGTAGACGGCTGAGGTATTGGTGCACTTGATATGTATGATTATGGCGAGAGTGGAGACAGTTTCCCTTCCGGTTCAATATCATTTCAAAGTGTGCGTGAGAGAGAGAATATTGATACCTCTTCTCACCATCTCTCTTTTTTTAAATCTGGCCTAAACCAAACAGAAAATTCCTTGGGAAAAATAATTGCTTTAATAGGCTTAGCAATAGTGGTAGTGGTTGGTAGCGGTTCGACTTTATTTGGCTACTTTTTTCTCCGGAAGAAAAATAAGAGTAATTAAAAAATTTTCTTAAAGAAATGACCTGGCATTATCTTTCTGGCGACTTGGTCTTAATAATTTTTGCTATCAAAGATAAATTATAACATGACAGATAATAATCATGAAGAGAGGGAAAGATAACTCTTAACAAACAAAAAAAATGTCCCAAATGTGACTTTTATCTTTAATCAAAATCATCCTCGCTTGCAAATCCAAATCCAACATTTGGCCGCGTGAATGGTGGCTATTTTCAATGCTTTCAAAAAAGAATCCAGTAGTTAGGATAAGTTAAGGAAATAATTATTATAATGAGAAAATGTTCACAACGCTACCGCGAAATTAAAGACCAAATTCCGGTTAATAAGCATTATGAGTTAACTGAGAGTTTAGTTTTTCTTCAAAATAACAATCGCGAAAAAATTAAAAATATTAAAGTCAGTTTTGCCTTAAGTCAATCCAAGCAAAAAACCATCAGAGCAAGCAAAATAATTCTTCCGCATCCAGTGAAGAAAGAACGGAAAATTGTGGTGGTAAAAGATAATTTACCGGACGATATTCTAGTTAATTTACCTCATGATGATAATATTGTGTTGTTGACCATTGCGGAGTTACAACAAAAAATTACTGGTCGTAAAAAATCCCAATGGGGATTTACTAAATTACTGGCTCATCCTGCCAGCGAAAAACAAATTAAATCCCTAGAAAAAATTTTGGGACCGGCTGGTTTATATCCTGCTCCAAAAAAAGGTAATTTAACTGAAAATATTAGGGCAGAAATAGAAAAATTTAGCCAGGGCGAGCAAGAAATAAAGTCTGATAAATCCGGAAATATCCAATTAGTAATCGGCAAGAGCAACTTTACCTTGGAGCAATTAAGAAATAATTATAATAGTATACATAATAAAATAATTGAGTTGCGACCAGAAAATTGGAAAGGGAAGATTTTCAATAGCATTACCCTCTCAACAGCCATGGGTCCAGGGATTAGAATTACTATTTAGACTAAAATATTAGGTTATGCCAAATTCCGAAAAAGTAGAAAATTTTTTAAACCAATATTTAGAAACATATTATCCTAGACAAGAAAGAAACAGCATCACTGAGTTGAATTTTTACGGCGGAAATTTTACTGCAATTTTAAAAGGAGAAAAATTAGATTTAAGCGATTTTACTAGTTTAGAAAAATTAGATTGCAATGAAGATTACATTACTGAGTTAAATGTAAGCAGATGTTCGCAATTAAAAATACTTTTCTGTTGCGGAAACCGCCTAGAAAGTTTAGATTTAAGCGAAAACCCTAATTTAATTGAACTCGATTGTTCTTTAAATAAATTAACTGCCTTAAATTTGATTAACAACCCCAAGTTGGAAATGGTGGAAGTGCAACTTAATTTCATTGCTGCTAACCTAGATGTTTTCTCACACTTAACCGAATTAAGAGTATTGAATTTAGGTTGAATTGAAGAATTAGAATACGAAAAATTAGCAAAATTTAATAAGAAAAACAAATTTTCTGGTTCCTTACAAGCCTTAGAAAACTGTCGTGATTTAAAAAAACTTTATCTTACTTGCCAACCACAAATCGAACAAGGTTTAGAATATTTACCTACTGAAAAATTAACTGTTTTTGAATATCGAGGTAGTGCTTTTGAAGATGTATTAAAAAATTTTGATTTTGGAGAAGGTCAGGAAAAACGTAGTATTCTAGCCTCGGTATTGGCTGCTAGAAGTCCAAGCAAACAAGCCCAAATTACTGAGACTTTTGAAGACTTATTTCGAGCCGAAAAAAATAACAAAGATTTGCAAAGAGAATTAAGTTTAAAAGAATATAAAATTATTGCTTTCAAAGAATTGATAAACCAAAACTATGATAAAACTTTAATATTAATATTTATAGCAGTGGTCGGTTGGTTAATTTCGTTAATCCAAACTATTTATATTTTAAAAGAAAGATATTTGAAGAGTCAAAATTATGAGCAGCAAAAATAAAATCACCAATATAGTTCAGGAATTAGATAATTTAAGTTTGGGAGAAATTGACGAACTGATAACTAATATTAAAGAGCGTTTCAACATCCAGGAGGAAGTAATGGTGGGTCCAACAACTTCTATAACCGAAACAAAGACCGAAGAAAAAGTTATTAATGTTTCATTGAAATTGACTGGAATAAAAGAAGGGGCGAATAAGATGCAGTTTTGTAAAGAAATTGTGAATATTATCAAGGAAAAAAAAGGTGAAACTATTAATCTTATTCAAGCGAAAAACCTACTCGAAGAAAAAAAAACAATTTTGGAAAACATTCCTCGCCCCGAGGCCGAAAAAATCCAAAAGACCTTGGAGGAAAAAGGGGGGCTAATAGAAATCAAAGAAAGTTAGTTAATGTCATATCGTATAATTCTAAGTGGAAAAAATCAGCGACGAGAGTATTTGGGTCTTAATCGTTCTCCATTGTTTCAAGATTTACCAAACAAAGATTTTGGGAAAGAACAAAAATTATCATATGATAATTTTTTTCGCACTGGCTTTGAACAGTTGTTTGCGGCTTATTTTCCGGCCGAGTTTAGTAATTATAATAATCAAATTCGGTGCGGAGTTGGCAAAATTACTTACGAAGAACCTAAAATCAGCGAAGAGGAGTCTCGCATTAAGGCTCTAACGTGAAGTTATGCTGTTTCCTTGGTTTGATCCTGGGACTGAACTTGTCACAAAATTCAAATTCCGCTCTCGGGCGACGAGATTAGTGATGATGTTAAACAATGGGTCGAAAAAAGTTTCAAAATCGGTAAGTTTGTTTGCCAGGAAAAGGTGCCGGGCCAGCAATGAGAGATCCAAGAAAAAGAAGAAAAACTAAAAATAACTCTTAAACTCTTAGAGCGACAAGAAAAAAACTTAATTGTCGAGTTTCGGTGTGTGGGCGAGAAGAAAATAAATTTTTGCCAGTTGCCTAAAATTACGGCCCACGGCAATTTTATCATCAACGGTCATGATAAAGTAGTAGTTTTTCAGTCCGTGCGAGCTCCCTCGGTTTATTTTTTTACTGACGAAAATCAAGAAATTTACGGGGAAATTATCCCTTTTAAAGGTCCCTGGCTTAATCTTTCATTTAATAAGAAAAAAAATGGTATCGTCGAGTTAAGGTTCCTTAATTCGGGAGTTACTATTAACCTTTTAGACTTAATGAAAACTTACCAAATAACCCCGGAGGACCTGGGTAAATTATTTGGTCAAGAAGATTTGAATAAAGAAGACTATCCTAATGCTCAATCTCTCGAACCGGGTATTGATTTACCTCATTTTTTATTTAACCGACCTAATTCTTACTTTGTTTTTGGTAATTTAGGGCGGAAAAAATTCAACCAAAAGTCTAGTCTGTGGCGGCAAGTATCAGGACAAATCTTAGCCGAAAATTTATATGATAATGAGGGGGATTTATTACTCTCGCATGATACCATTCTCAATGAAAAAAATCTTGCTATATTAGTCAAGGCTTACCAAGAAAAGAAACTTGTTTCTCCCTTCTTATCTCCCGAGATTAACAATTTATACCTTCTAAAAATAAAAGCCCCCCATCAGTCCCAAAAAACAATTCCCGTAGTCGGATTCGCTACCGACTTATCCGAAGAAAAAACTTACTTTGACTTGGCTGACTTGATTTGTGCGGTCTCTCTTTTTCTTAATTTGCGTTATGGCTTAGGCAAGACAGAGAAAGAAGAAGATAAAGACAAATTAGAAAACCAAGTTATTCGGCGAGTAGGAGATTTATTTTACAATCTTATCGAAACTAAATTAGGAAGTTGAATTAATATCATTAGTAAAAATTATTTGGCTCAACTTTCTCATTTTAAGAAGGCCAATTTGACGAAAATTCCTCGTCTGGAAGATTTTGGGATTTTGTTGCAACATCTTTGTAATACTTCCCCATTATTCCAACTCCAAAATCAAAACAATCCCTTAGCTAAGGCTTCTTATAACCAAAGAATCAGTGTCTTGGGCCGGGGAGGATTTAGTTCTTCAACCACTACTTTTTCGGCTCGTAATGTTGGCCCTTCCCACCTGGGGCGCTTAGACCTAGTGGAAACTCCCGAAGGGCAAAATGCCGGTTTGGTCCGTAATCTGACTATTCGCACCAAAATAAATGACTACGGTCAAATGGTAGTTCCTTACTATCCGGTGCAAAACGGCATCATCGTGGGAAAAATAGTTTATTTAACTCGGGAAGAAGAGTGAGACAATTACATTATTCATTGTGCTATTCGGGTTAACGAAAATAATCAAATCGAGGAAGAAAAAGTTTTGGCCCGTTTCCGTGATGATTTAGTCTGAGTATCGGTTAATCAACTAAACTACATTGATTCTTCTTTTTATCAACTAAACTCCATTACTAGTGCGTCAATACCTTTTTTTCAACACAACGATGCTACTCGGATGTTAATGGCAACTAACATGCAACGACAAGCGGTGCCACTATTAAGAAATCAGGAGCCATGAGTAGCCACCGGGGTTGAAACCAATGTTGCGGCTAGTTCTTCTTTGGCTGTTCGGGCCGAGAAAGAAGGGGAAGTTGTTTACGTTGATAGCCAACAAGTTATCGTCAAAGAAAGCACCGGAGGGAAAAAAATTTATCACTTGAAACAACTAGTAGCCTCCAACAAAAATGTTCTGGATTTTTCGGTGCCTCGAGTGAAAAAAGGCGACCATGTGGCACCCGGACAAATAATTGCTAGTGACAATTGTATCAAAAACGACGAATTAGCACTAGGTTATAATCTAAGAGTCGCTTATTGCTGCTGAGAAGGCTATAATTTCGAAGACGGGGTAGTTATCAATGAGCGTTTAGTCAAAAAGGACATTTTAACTTCTTTTTTCGTTAAAAAATATACTGTTATTCGTTATGATACCAAATACGGCGAAGAAATTTTCACTAACCTACTTCCTTATTTAGATCCGAAGAAAAACCATCCCAGAGAAGCCCAAGAAAAATTGGCTCATTTGGATGAAGATGGTATAGTTAAAGTTGGCAGTCGAGTAAAAGAACGTGATGTTTTAGTGGGCAAGCGAACTCCCCAACCACGGCCCACTGACGAAAGCGAGGAAGATTCTTTATTACTAAGTTTGTTGGGCGAGGCTTCTCGCAATTTTGTTGACTCCTCTCTTTATTTACCATCCGGCGAGAAAGGTGAAGTTTACGAAGTGCAACGCAAAAAATTAACCAAAAATAAGAAAGAATTAGAAGTGGTAGAAGTTTACGTGGCCCAAGAAAGAAAAATTGAGGTAGGCGACAAAGGAGTTAATCGTTACGGGGGGAAATGGACCGTAGCTAAAATTGCTCCGGCCGTTGACTTACCTTTTGACGAGGAAGGAAAAACTTTTGACCTTCTTATTAATCCTTTGAGTGTTCCTACTCGCCTTAATATCGGACAATTACTGGAAACTATTTTGTCTGAAGCCTCCTTGCGTCTGGGGGAAAAACTACTATTTCGGCCTTTTAATACTCTGGCGCCTAACACCATTCAACAAATAATCCAAGAAGCCGGAATAAAAGATTGCGGAAATCGCCAACTGTTTGATGGCCGCACCGGCCAACCGTTTGCTAACAAGATTTATACTGGTTATACCTATACTCTAAAATTAAATCACATGGTATCAGATAAAATTCATGCTCGCAATACTGGACCTTATTCTCTAATTTACCAG